AACGCTAGATAACCTAATACAAGACAAATACATGAAATAAATACACAATCACACTTGCACCCCCTAGGGTAATCCCACATGTTACCTTCCAAAATGGGCCATGCTTGCATGTCGTGTTTCTTTGGCAAAACAATTCAAATGATCATAAGTCCCTCGACGACGCTTTCGAAAGTTGCCTAAAACGGAATGATCATAGTCCCTTCAAGCAAATTGCCAAAGACACTTGGCACCATTGCATTCATGGTCCGTACGATGACCCGCGCCTGTCCCAATCACATCCTAAACGCAAGATTGTCCACCAAATTCAATGGTGGAACAAAATTGTTAAAAAGGGTTAAAAACATAGAGAAAACCTTTGAGTACAATAGGGGTAGACCAAACTCTTAGTTACTTGAGATCAACTTGCAAAAAACACTTGCCTCCCTTTCAAACCACACTCCACAAACACTTTCAAAACAAACTCTTTGAAACATCTTTTCGAAAAGATACGCACTTTTGTAAAACACTCAAACACGAGTCAATTACATTGGTTGCCGAAACAAAGGCGTCTATTTCAAAAACATTTTCAAAACACACACATACACCACAATTTCAAGCAATCAAAAATCAAGGCAAGTGATCTAAAAACCAAGTAACTAAGAGCCCATGGATAACCATGGATGAAAAGGGTGCTAATACCTTCCCTTTTCATAATCTACCCCCCGAACCCACGAAACATCTCAAAAGGTTTTTCCTGTGCTTTTTAACCTTTCCTTTAGGATAAAATAAAAAGTCGATGGCAACTCTTGCTCAACCGAACAAGTGCGAATACAAACGCAAAACTCAAGTCAGTTCTCCCACCGTATCACACATATCATACAGAATTCATCATAGGCACTAAGAAACAAAATGAGATCAACCAGAAATCATCATAGGAAAAATTGAACCACAAGGCAACATATCAAGCAGATCGTACAAAGTTGGCCTCAAATATATAACATGCATATCAACAGAAATCATCATAGGCTAAATTGAATCACAAGGCAACATATCAAGCTAGACATCCAGAGTTGGCCTCAGATATATAACATTTATATCAACAGAAATCATCATAGGCTAAATTGAATCACAAGACAATATATCAAGCTAGACATACAGAGTTGGCTTCAGATATATAACATTCATATCAAACAGAAATCATCATAGGCTAAATTGAATCACAAGGCAACATATCAAGCTACCTAATGTACAATACAATGACAACTTAATTAATGTACATACCTTGGATCAAGAATTGCACCAATAAAAATCAATGTATTAGACTATGACTAATACTTGTCATATTTCAACTCCATTTCATTAGCAAGCGCTTGCAATTGAGGATTATTTGAGATGCTTAAAGGTTTATCAAGTAGAACCTTCACCCTGTAAAGCTCAGCCAAAAATAGATTAGCAGTAGGGTAAGAGGTGCCACTTATAATTGATGTAACATCAGCAAAAACCTCCAAAAACTTGCAAATATCATGAACATCTTTCCAATCATTTGCCTCAGGCAAAAAGCTGAGAAATGCAGCATTTTTCTCAGCATATCTAGGCCAAACTTCTTTGTAATGGTATGTAGTGGACAACATCAACCAAGTTGAGTTCCACCTTGTCTTGGTATCCAACACTTGCATTATGCCTTCAAGTTACAACTCATCAACAATTTTTTTGAATGCTTTGCATCTAGTTTCAGAATTCAGCAAGTATTTGACACCATTTCTAATCTTATCAACAACCATATTAATCATATCAAGACCATCATGCCCCAACAAATTTAAGATGTGTGCACAACACCTTACATGAAATAATTTACCATCTAATGGTAAATTTCTCCTACCAGAATAACCCCTCTTCAACCTAGCAACACAATTATCATTGGCATTAGCATTATCTACTGAAATTGAAACAACCTCATCCCTTATTCCGCAATCTTCTATCACCTTAATCAACTCCTTACATAAAACCTCCCTAGAATATGGTGGTGGCGCATTCTTAAAAGATAAAACTCTTTTGTGGAGCTGCCATTTTGATTCAATGAAATGACCAGTCACAGTCATACAACCTATTCTCTATTCACCAGACCACCATAATTCAGTGGTAAGACTGATCCTGTTAATCAAAGATATATACTTTTTCATCTTAACTCTCCCAGCCTCATAAAATGTCTTACAATCAAACTTAACTTGTTTCCTAGTAGTCTTTTTATACCATGGATAAATCTCTCTTAGAAACTCATTAAATATAACACCTTCCATAGCTGAAAAAAGAATTTCATGACCTAGAATCATACGTGCTACAATTTCTCTAACCCTAGCATGATTATATGTCCAAGTTTCCAAACTAGGAGTAATATCACCTATATTTAACCTAGACTCTGCAACCTCTTTGTAATTATTACCTTTCAACCTCAACTTTCTCTGAGTACAAGATTCTAAATGTTTCTTACCATTAGAGGTACTTTTCCACTTCGTATCATAAGTGTAAAGCTTACCACACCATCTTCACTTTGTTTCTTAATGCCACCAGGTTGTTCAATAAGCACCATTTCAGTATGAACAATAGATTTTTTGGGACAAGGAGCTTTACCAAAGGCATTTATCTGAATTTGAGAACTCTGATCTTGGTCAACTTGAGGGGTTGACCCATCAGTAGTGATAGTATTTTGAGTAGTAGTATTTTTAGTGGTGGCATTTTAAGTAGTGTTATCAGTTGGAACTAGAAGCTCCAAATCAATCATCTCACTAATCTCTAAGTTATCTCCGTCCATTGTCTCCTATTCCCCAATCCCATCAAGCAACATATTAATATCAATAAGATTATCCATGGTTGGAGTCAAGGAATCTTGAAAAGACATGGAAGAAAATACAATCAATCAAACAAATACAATAAATCAAACAATAATGTAATAGGAAATAAGAACAAAACTCAACAACAAAAGCCTTACTTTATTAAGAACAGAAGACAAACAATTATTCAAAGCCCTAGCCGAACCTTTGTTATGAATAAAACTCAGCAACAAAAAACCCTAGCCCTTTATTATTATTAATCAAACGGGAAGCACAAAACCCAGGTCAAAATTATAACATGCATTTTAGGTCAAAAAATATTAGGTCAGAATGCAACATAACATTTTAGGTCAAGAAATTAGGTCAAAACTGAAACATGGTAAAGAAAGATTCATCAACTCAAACATGCAAACATGGTAAAGATTAATGATAGTATAATAAAAATCAAAAGCAGAATAAGTTGAATACATTACAAGTTTATCAAGCAGAAGCCTTGAACGATTAACTCTAACTCTATCTCAAACACTCACGAATCACATATGAAGAACAAGAACAAATAAAATTAGTAACACACTAACACTCAACAATCTAAATTGTTTGACTTGATCTAAAAGAGGGAGGGGAAGAGGAGGTCGTCAGAGGCAGAGAAGGAAGGAGAGACATGAGGAGAGTGACTGAAGGAGAGAGAAAAAGTGAGAAAATGAAAACAAATTTTACATTATTGGTTTCAGTTACTCATTAGCTAATTGGTCTGGATCTTCATTCGGGAATCAGATTAAAAATTTATCCATTCCCAGTCCATGCCATGTTTTGGTTGGTCCAATGGATAAGGTCTACCGGTCCGATTCTCGGGTGGATCTCGATTCCTGAAGCCCAAAAATAGCCCTAATAGTGATATGTCTCGACTACGTAAAATAATCCAATCAAAATTCTAATTGCTTAAATATAAGAGAAAATCACCCCCCTCTCGACGTAAATGAACATGATTATCTCTCGATTTAGGTATAAATTTCACCATTTAACTTTTTTTCCTATTTTTTTTAAATTTTTTTCTACAATCAACATTTTTATGATAATAACTCATTATGTGTACTTCAATTATTATTTTATATTTCATTTGAATGATAATATATTGATTTATTTTAAAATTGAAATATTTATTTTTATTATACAAAAACATAAATTTAAAATAAAATAACAAATATAAAAATATTTTATGATCGATAAATGCGTATTGTGCTGGTCACAATTTAGTTGATAATCATAAGATTTATAGACTAGATTTAAGTGACTGTGTGTTATCATAGTTTAATACTTTAGTCAGCATCTTATTTTTTCACACTAATATAATATTCACTAATTATTCATTCATCTATCATGCCAAACAAAAGTTACCAAAGTCATTCATCCGAAAGAAAATGATCACCAGGTTACTATTCAAGTGGGGTTGGACGGCTCTGAGAGTAGATTAGGTGTGTTTGAATATAGATGAGGTGTGCAAAAGCGGGTTGATAGGTTGTGAAGGTGTCATTTGAGAAAGTGATAGGGAGTGACTAACTGGTTTTTTCAAAATCATTGATCAATGGGATGTTTTTATGGCCGAGATGTGGGGGTTACTTTGAAGGCCTCAAGTTGGCTTGGAGCTTAAAGTTTTCTAAGGTGGAGATTCAATTGGATTCTAAGGACATGATTGCTATTATCATAAGTAGGAAGCATTATACTTTTGGGAGATCTTTAACTGAAGAGATTTGAAGACTTTTAGACATGAACTGAGAAGTAGTGGTTAATCATTTGTATCAGAAAGCAAACAGACTAGCAAATGTCTTAGCAAAATATAATTTTGTTATAGATGATATGTGTATTTTCTTTTCCAACTACTTAAAAATATTTATTCATATTCTGGATGCAGATGAAGAGGGTTTTGGACTTTTAACCCTCTTTTCTATAAAAAATAATGAAAAAAATTAATATATATCGTAAATGTTAATAAATTATTTATAGAAATATTTTCGTGAAAAACATATATTCAATATTTTAAAATTTTAAATATAATTTTATTACATTTACTTACATTTAAATTTTTCTAACGATAATATCCTTAGTCAATTACCAAAATCACCGCAGCCGAAAAATATACCGGGAGAAAAGCCTCGTCTTGTTTAACTCATTGTGAGCGGACATTCGAGATCAGTGATGGCTTACTGCGGCAACCATGAAGCAACCCATTCAAACTTGAATCTCAACAACAGTCCCGATCCGCGCGCAACTCACGCACGCCTCCTAAAATCCACCGTCACGGACATTTCACTATTCAACAACCTCATAACACAGTATTTCAAATCCAACCTCTCTTCCTACGCTCTCTCCCTCTTCACCCGAATCCCCTCTCCCAACGTCGTCACATGGACCGCACTCATCACCGCACATTCCAACACTCTCCATTCCCTCCACCACTTCCTCTCCATGCTTCGCCATTCCACCCTCCCTAACCACCGCACCCTCGCGTCTCTCTTCGCCACCTGCGCCTCTCTTTCTTCTATCTCATTTGGTCTTTCCCTACACTCTCTCTCCCTCAAACTCGCACTCTCTCACCACCCTTTTCCCGCTTCATCTCTCCTCACTTTTTACTCCAAATGCCGACTTCCCAATCACGCACTCAAAGTGTTCGACGAAACTCCCCATAGAGATAATGTATCTTACTCCGCTATCATTGTTGCTCTCGCTCAGAATTTTCGGTTTTCGGATGCTCTTTTTCTCTTTGCTGACATGAAATGCCAGGGTTTTTATTCTACCGTCCATAGTGTTTCTGGGGCTTTACGCGCCGCTGCGCAGCTTGCTGCACTGGAGCAGTGTAGGATTATTCATGCACATGCTGTTGTTGCCGGCCTTGATTCAAATGTTGTGGTTGGTACTTCTCTTGTTGATGGGTATGGTAAAACGGGTCTTGTTAATGATGCAAGACGGGTTTTTGAGGATAATATATATTGTATGAATGTTTTGGGTTGGAATGCTATGTTGGCTGGTTATGCACTACAAGGGGATTGTCAATCGACTCTTGAATTGTTTGATTCTATGAAAGGATATGGATTTGTGCCTGATGAGTATAGTTTTTTGGCGATTCTGACATCTTTGTATAATGCTGGGATGTTTATGCAGATCGATGTGTGGTTGAATAGGATGAAAGTGGAGTATGGTTTGGAACCAACTCTTGAGCATTATACGTGTTTGGTGGGGGGAGTGGCCCGTGTTGGACAATTGGAGCGTGCAGAGAGGATAGCATCAACGATGCCTTTTGAGCCAGATGCTGCAGTTTGGCGTGCTTTGCTATCTGCTTGTGCATACCATGGTGCGGTTGATAAAGCTCGGGTTATGGCTAGGAGGGTGTTAGAACTAGAGCCTCAAGATGATTCTGCTTTTGTTATTGTTGCTAATGTGTTATCGTCTGCTGGAAGGTGGGATGATGTTGCAGAGTTGAGGAAAATGATGAAAGATAGGAAGGTGAAGAAGAAAGGAGGGAGGAGCTGGATTGAGGTGCAGGGGAAAGTTCATGTTTTTGTGGCAGGGGATTGGAAGCATGAGAGATCAGTGGAGATTTATCAGAAGTTGGAAGAGCTAATGGGGGATATTGAGAAATTAGGATACGTTCCAGTTTGGGATGAGTTGTTGCATAATGTCAGGGAAGAAAAGAGCAAAGACGCTCTTTGGTATCACAGTGAGAAGTTGGCGGTTGCGTTTGGAGTATTATGTGGATCTATACCACCTGGTAAGGCATTAAGGATTGTGAAGAATTTGAGGATTTGTAAAGATTGTCACGAGGCTTTTAAGTATATGACTAGAGTTTTAGAAAGGGAAATTATTGTGAGGGATGTCAACAGATACCACAGATTTGTTAATGGTGATTGTACTTGTAGAAACATATGGTAGGTAGTATGTACAACTAATGAATAATGAATGACATGAAATGTGTTTGATTGAGGCTCATTTCTCATGACAAATGATGCAGGTGAAACAGAACTATTTTCACTTCATAATTGTAAGTCTTGTTTGTGTTGTTTCTATCATTTGCTTTTTTTTGTTCACCTTCGACCAATTTTTAGTTAAAATAAATTAAGATATATCATCATAATCACCTTTTCTAGTGATTGTTTTCTAAGTGAACAGTGAATTGGAAAACTTCAGTTTATAAATCTCTTGCAATTGCTAACAAGGAGGTGCATGAACTTATTTACAGGAGGTTAAAATAAGGAGCATAGGCGGAAATGGCACTATGCCCAAACTACCCAATAACTGATGGTCGCACAACATTCTGAAAACGATCGGGTGATTGTGTAATTTAGTGCCTAATCTTAACTATTATTTGTTCCATGCATGGTATAAAATGCTTGTTCTATTTCTTAATTGAATAATATCTTGAATTTGAGAGGGTGTTTGGAAAATCTTACTCAGACTTATCTTATGGCTTAAAACATTTTTGTAAATGGTTGGAAAAGTTAAATAGTTTATGACATGCTCGTAAGCCATTTCCAGCTTATTTTAAAAAGCTCCCCAAACTAGTTTATAGAAACAACTTTTACAAAGTTTGTGTGAAGTTACTCTTCATTCTTTCCTTGATTTTAAAAACAATTTATACATAAATATCTACACAATAAGCTCTCATATAAAATAAGTGCTCAATTAAATTGTTAACCCAAATGTTTCCTAAAAAATACAGAAAAACAATGTAATATAGCAGGTTCTTTGAACTTTGAAGTCATTTCAATATTTGAATTACTCTACCAGACAGTAGTTAGGACAGGAGAAGTTTACTGTGTGATTCTAGGCAAATATACCTATAATGCCAGGGATCCGAACTTAGGAATATCCACTTTTGGAGGAGCTTTACCTAACCGCCAGTCTCGGTCTGAGGGTTAATGCCATAATTATGTCTATTGAGATATTTGGTAATAGACCCTAAAATGAACGCCCTTGAGTATTTTAGTTATACCAGGTGAGTTTATGCTTCTATTTAAATGTTATTTTTGTAAATTAATGTAGATCATGCAGTATTGGTGTACAATTTTTCGTAACTTTTTTGGTGTTTCTTTATAAGCATTTTTTATAACATATTGAAATGACGTAATGAGAAACGTAAGTTTAATTCGATGGTGGTTTTGCATCCTTTGATCCATTTCCAGACTTCATTTGGTCATGTTAGGCTTAAGGGACCATTTCTGTTTCTAAAGTCACAATTTATGTACTGTATAATTTACTCTCCAACACTCAACTCATTGACAAGAACAAATCAAAGAGCCCAATTTTTAAGGAAGCTAGTCAAGGAACATGATTTGGTAGGATTATATAAACAAAATGTCCATCATAGTTTCATGGATTATATAAACAAAATGTCTTTTAGTTACTTACTTCTGTTATCATAGTCTTTTAGTAGTTTGTTGTGTTTCCTTTTCTGTTATCCAATTCCTTAGCAGCCTACTATACCAATTATATAAGCCAATTGGTTTTATATTTCTTGTTCTGTTTTCCAATTCCTTATCATCTCATTGTACTACTTCTTATAAAACGCAATTGATATCAATAAATAAACTCGAGTCATCATCTCTCTCTTTAATATGGTACTCCCTCCCTTCTTATTTATAAGCAAAAGTCTTCAAAAAAATTTGGCCTTAAATATAAGAAAATGTCAACAAAATCTAGGTGCATTTAATGCTTGTATTCCAAAATTATCCCTGTATTAATTACTTAATATTTTTAGTGGATGACGATTTAATTGAGGGTATACTAATAATTACGTTATCTCTTACATGAAATCAAGAAAATTAAATGTACTCAAGTGTCTTTCTTAATAAGCGTGAAATTTGTCTTTTTTTCTTATAAATCAGGCCGGGGTAGTATATCGGAGAGCATTTATATCTTTAACAACTAACTCCATCTCTCTCTTTAATATGGTATATCAAAGAGCATTTATATCTTTAACAGCTAATTCCACCTAACAATCAACACATTATTATTATACTCTCTCACTATCTCTTTCTGGGTATATAACAACATATATGATACTTTCTTGAGTTATAATATTTATTACATCTTTGACAGCTTTCAATTTGAAGATACAATAATTTGTTTAGTTTTCATCTTCTTTCAATATGGTCTCAGCCATTTTCTTAGTAAATATATTATATATGTCTCTTCTCTTTTAAATGCAAATTTGGCAATTCGATTGGTGAATAATCACATGCCACTGCAGCAAACAACTTGTAGTTAGGTAAAGAATGATGAAATATTTATTATTGTAATATATAGTTTGATTTGTCAAATTTGTACAGTTGCGTGATATCAAATACTGGTCACACACCAATTCATATCTAATATCATATTCATACCTTTTTTTATTTTATTTTATTTTAAATAACACCAGATTTCTTTCTTGTTTCCAGTTCTCATCACTTGCAATACTGTATTAAGCATGCATCAAATGCAGAGGGATGTTCGTGGAGAGTGCAATGGATAAAGATTACATGTTGCTAGTTCCAAACAAGAACTGCTTAGAATTTTGCAGGCTCAAAGGTTGATTACACTGCCAAAGTGAAATCATGCATTTATCTGGCTGTTAGCTTACATTCATGGATGTGTAGATTTCAACGCTTCCCTCGTCAGGGGGAAGAGGAAGGGAAAACCTTCTCTCATCTGTGATACAGTTGTTCAGTGTTCTTTCTTAAGAGACTTCATCATCATCTCTAGTCCCATTTCCCAAGCACATTAAAGCACTCTCATCCATAGTGATTGCCAATACTCTGTCTTTTATTGAAGCATTACCACTTTGGCACCATAATATAGAAACTTCAGAATGAGATGAATCAACCAAAATGGCCCTATTCTGATTTAGGATCGCTGTAATCACAATTTGGTTATCATTTTCTGCAATCAAGTTTCGAATACCACAATCCAGAGCAAAAGGGAATTCCGCCCCAAATGCCCATAGCTTTTGCAACCCTAGCATCTATGTTGCCCTTCGAGCTTTTTGTTGCAAAGGCTATGACAGATCCTTTATCATCTCTCATAATGAAACCAAATCCCCTGGAAGCATTCATTTGAGATTGTTCCATCTGTGTTGTGCCTTGAAAATGACGGAGGAAGGGGTTTCCAGCACGGAGGAGAAGATGGGTTCTACGAGTGCTACTAGAAGAAAAGCCACAAGCGTGGTAGAATTCCCAAAGAACAAGGATAGCTTTCTTTGTAATCTTCTCAACAGGTATGATAATATTTTCAAAGTTGCTTTTATTTCTGGCAAGCCAAATCTCATATGTCATTGTTGTTAGAATTTTGCTTCTTTCCTTGACCTGTTTGAAATCATCTTAGACAGCAAATCTAATAAATTTGTCTGCAATTTGGGAGACCTTAAGCCATAAAAGAGACAACACCGAATTTGTTTGATTAAAAGGTAATTTTTGAACGTGTGGTTGATGGACTCCAGTGTACGCTTACAATGGAACAAAGGAGGGGGGTAGGGAGGCCACTTCTTCTGAAGTTAATCTTAACTGAAAGTGTCTTTTTTTTTTTTTTTTAATTTCTAGAAAATAATTTTCTGTTTGAGGGGCCTTAAATTTCCAAAGATGCTTTCAGAGATCATATTTGGAAGCTGCCTCAGATTGTTATCTTCTAATGGAAGGAAAATGGATTGGATAATATCAGAATTCCAACAATGGAAAATGTTCTGAATCAGCTTGTAACAGTAGAAATGCACATGTCCATGTCCATAGGCTTAGGGGATCCTATTCTAAAACCGTTTTGATTAGGCATACAATTGTCCTCCGGAATCTTGATGTTATTGCCATTTCCAATTTTTTAGGGGTATGTCTATATTTGGAGAGGAGAGTTTTGGAGGGTTATGTTTATATCAAATGTATTTGATATTTCAAAAAAGTTAACAAAAAACTCTGATATTATAAGCTAATGTATCATGTTGTTTTTAATTTTTTTTTTATAAATTTTAAATATATATCAAAATAGAAACATAGCTCTTCAAAACCCTTCCTGCCAAAGCCTTTCAAAAACCAACTCACAATCAAATCCTAAGGCTTTGTACCAACTCACAAGCAAATCCTAAGATTTTGTTTGGGAGTTTGGAGGGGGAAGGAAGAGAAAGACTTTGAAAAGAAAAGGAAGAATTGAGTGAAAAGAATATAAGAATTTAGGTGGGGATTTATTTTTATTCAAAAACCATAATCTCTTAATTCAGAGAAACTAAAAACTATATATTGAAGGAGGGATTTAGAGAACTTAGATAAATTATTTAAATATAATATTTGTTGTTTATGACATGAGTATATATGGGTGTTCAAATTAACTTGTTATTGGATTATCTATTTCCAAACCCGATTATTAAAAACCGGTTAAGTTTTAACCAAATACAAATTTTGGGATATTATTAACACTGTTTATATTTTGCATATCCATGTCCAAAATAAAAACTAAATTAGGGTATTTTTTGAAAATCACAAAAAATCTAAAATTAATATTTTTTATAAAAAGTATTTTTTAAATAATTTTTTTTGAATTTTTTTCTCTTATAATTTATTTTGAAGTAATATATTTTCTAAAAAAAATAAAATAATTGTTTTTCTAATATTTGAAAAAACATTTTCTGAAAAATAAATAAATAAATATTATTCTTTTTTTTCACAAAAATAGAAAATACAATTTTTATTTAATTTTAAGAAAAAATAAAAAGTATGAGTTTTAATTTTTTTTGGAAAATAATATTTTTCAGAAAAAAAATTTTTTTAATTAAAAATGGAAAAAAAACTTTTTTGTTTAAAAAAAAAACATGATAGTAGTTATTGCAATAGTAAGGGGTTCTGATGGGACGAGGACGACCAAAAAAGGGGTCATCATCGGTGTCACAATCTCAACCGATAAAGCCAGATCAACAATTGACTACTCAAGATGAAGATGAAGAAATCATCGTTGAATCCCTAAATATAAAAATTGGGGAAAAATCGATTGATGTCATAGAATCAAGCCCAACGAAGGAACTATCAATCCAGATGGAAAAGGCAAAAATTGAAGATCAAAGAAAGTTGTGGGTCGATGTTCTAAATGAGAATCGAAATCCATCGAAGGGGACGCAACTAAAATTCTTCGCCTTGCAAATAGTCAATGGAGAAGTAAAGGTAGTGATTGATGAAGACATTGAATCAGAATTAAAATTCTGGGATATAACACTAATCATGTATGTTCTGGGAGCAGATATGAGTATGAACTTAGTTAAGCAGTTTATGATGAAGATGTGGAACTTTGTATTCTTACCAAACATGTATTATCGTGATGATGGATACTTTCTTCTGCGATTTGGATCACATAGAGACAAGGATGAGGTACTAAGAAAGGGTCCCTATACAACCAGAAATATGCCCATCATACTTTGGGAATGAAGGTCAGAATTTAACATGAAAAAGGACTTGCTCAGAACCCTACTTGTATGGATCAAACTGCCTAAACTACCTCTATACCTATGGGGGGAGAATAGCCTGGGAAAGATCGTAAGTGCCATTGAAGCCCTTTTGTCACAGATGAATGTACGACGAGCAAACTCCGCATATCGTATGCACGGATACTGGTGGAAGTGGATATCACAAAAGAGCTGCCACAAGAGATCATCATCAGAGATAAAAAAGGAAACAAGATGAAACAAGCCATCAAATTTGAATGGAAACTAGAGTTTCGCTCCAAATGTCAAAATATTGGACATAAATGTGGCGATACAAAGAAGGAGGAAAAGCAATGGAGGCCGAAAAAATTACCAAAAACAGGACAAAAGGAGATAACTGCAGAACCAATCCCTGTGAAGCCAATAGAAGTATCTCACTCGTATTCGTCTGGTCCTATCATCCAAATGCTGCCAAGAGAAGAGTGGATTACTCCTAATAAAACAAGTAATGACATAGGAAAAGGGCACAACAAGATAGCAACACCAGATTGTCTTAAATGTGTAAATGGATTTGATGCATTAGGTGTTTCGAAGGACATTATTGCATTAGATGATCATGGCCTATGTTAGTCTCATGGAATGTCAGGGGGCTTAACAAAACAGATAAACATAAGGAGATTAGCTCCCATTTCCTATCTCTAAAAGCTGATATTAATGTCCTGCTTGAAACTAGGGTTAAAAAAGACAATGCTAAGGTTGTAAGGGATAAGCTAAAACTCCCAGGACAATATTTGGATAACTATACTTATCATGTGAATGGGAGAATTTGGTTGAATTGGAATGGTGGTAAAATTGTGATTACATGTATTAAAAGCACAGACCAAATGGTGCACTGTGAGGTAAGGGATATACATGGGGGTTTTAAGTTCTGGTTGATGGTTGTATATGCGCATAATAAACTTGATCGTTGAAGGAAATTGTGGCACGATATTGAATATGTTCAAAAATCAGGCCCATGGTGCATTGTAGGAGACTTCAACAATGTACTGAGGATTAAGGATATAATTGGTGGGAGTACAGTAACCGAAGCTGAATACAATGATCTACAAAATATGATGAACGTGATTGATCTTTTTGAGATGGAGTCCAAAGGTGATTATTTTACTTGGTTTAACAAACATAGTGTAGATCCTATTTATTAAAGGATAGATAAATTATTGGGAAATGTGGATTAGTTTCAAGCATATAAGGATGTCACCTTACAGGTTTTACCCCCTAATGTGTCGGACCACGCTATGCTTCACTTGACTGGACAAGAGATAACAAAAACACAGTACAAGAAAAGATTCAAATTTCAGAGTTGTGTGACTAAGATGGTTGGCTATGAAGATATTGTTGCTCACAGCTGGAATAACCCTGTAAATGGAAGCCCTATGGAAGTGGTATGGAAGAAGTCAAAGAGGTTACAAAAGGACCTAGATACCTTGACTAAACATCTTACACATGCCAGAGTTCATCTAGCTAAAGCTAGAGAGGAACTTGCAGATGCGCAACAATCACTTAGTACTGACAAGATGAATAAAGAAAAAAGTAGAATTGGTGAAGAAATGTGCAAACGATGTCATTAATTAGAATGAGATAGATGAAGAAATCTTGAAGCAGAGATCGAAAATAGAATGGCTAAAATTGGGGGATGGTAATAACTCTTATTTCCATGCCTCAATTTGAATTAAACATAGTGCAAAAAGTATTGATAAGTTGCAGTTGGAAGATGGGTCTGTCATTTCCGAGCAAAAAGAAATAAAGGCAGAGGTCCTTAAATTCTATGGGAACCTAATGGGAAAACAAGCTGATTCTATCCAGGCTATAGATATTGTGGAAATGAGAGAGGGATACCAAATTAGTTCTGATCAGGCAGATATGCTCACAGGCCAAGTCACAAATCAGGAAATTTTAAAAGCTCTGAACAATATTGGAGATCTAAAATCATCTGGAATCGATGGATATGGAGCCAAATTTTTTAAAGAAAGTTGGCATATAGTTGGAAGAGATGTGGTTGCAGCAGTGAAAGAGTACTTTGAAAATGAAAAAAAAATTCCTGGTCGTGAAATTCACGCTGGTTACACTTATTGCGAAGCATGATGAGGCGAAGGCAATTAGGGAATACAGACCTATCGCATGTTGTACTACCCTGTACAAAATCATTTCAAAAATCCTTGTGGTACGGTGGGATAACTGACTTGAGGGTTTGCGTTTGTGTTTGCAAATGTTGCGGTTAGCAAGAGTCGCCGTCGACTTTTCTTTTATCCAAAAAGGAAAGGTGAAAAAGCACAGGAAAGACCTTTAGAGATGTTTTCTTGAGTTCGAGAGGTAGATTATGAAAAGGGAAGGTATTAGCACCCTTTTCATCCATGGTTTTCCATGAGCTCTTAGTTACTTGCTAGATCACTTGCTTTTATTTGAATGTGCTTGTGGTGTGGGTTTTTGAAAGTATTCTGAAAATATAACTTTGTAATGATTCTCGTTTCTATAAGAACGCATACAAAGTGTTTGTTTCAAAAATAGTTCAA